GTGTGTGTGTGTGTGTTTGTGTGTGTGTGTGTGTGTGTGTGTGTGAGAGAGAGAGAGAGAGAGAGAGAGAGAGAGAGAGAGAGAGAGACTAGGGGTGGGGTGTACGTACGTCGCATAAATTGCTCAGGCTGTATTAATTTTTTATCAAATTAGTTCAAGTTATTGTTCAATTTCCAGAGGCCCATACGCAGATGAAAATAACGGCATTTATCAGTCTAATATAAGTGATTTTCTGTCAGGCTGCATTGCAGTAATTTTTCACTACCACATTTGTTCAAAGCTTTTCCAGAAACACAAAAATACATACAGAACGTCTTCCAAGAACTGCGACAAGATTTATGTGTATTCGCCAGCTGTTTTCTCTCCCGAAAAAGTATATATTTACTTATTATAGGCCCTGCGCTTAAAGAAAGCAACAATACATAACCTAGAATGATGAATTTGAAACTGGTGGCTTTATAACCCAAATGTCAATCTTCGTAACCTTTCTTATCTTTCAGGGCAAAGTCCAACAATAAACTACGAGCTTGATACAAACATTGAAATGTGCAGCCCCAAAAAACGTCGATTTCTTTACCATGGCGTCACGGTTGCTAGGGTGTCGATTTCGGTCTCACAACAAGCCGGTTCAGCTCGATGTAGTGTGTTATCACGTCGATTCTCATAAATCAGGATCGTCCATTAACGAGTCTATTGATATGTTTGCCGACCGATTAGTTACCGCTTTCTTCAGTGTATAGCCTCTTCAGAATGTCAACGGTCTTTGATAGTTCATTAGCGATACGAGGGAATGTTGCTTTTCTTGCACTGGTCTTACCGTTTCATAACCAACTCCCGTCTGCTTGCATAATCGATACTACGGTAGAAAAAACACCTCATAATTTCCAAGATGCATTCTTTGCTTACACAGAATGACGTAAACTGTTCTATGAAGTATTAATTGCTAAAGATGGATGAAAGAAATTAATTACACTTTTCCTCTTAGATTCCGCCTGCGGTACCGGGTATTTGAAAATACGACGTGCCTTTTGTTTTCAGAACCATGTCATTCGGGATGATCGTGGCTGAGTAACAAGCTGTGAAGTATTGAAATGTACAGACAAAAATAATTCATATACACACCAACGCAAAATATATTTGTGTGTTAGTTTATCGATGTATACATAATGTCATCTTTATTATATTCAATGATATTTCAGAATGTGGTCAACAGGGATGCACAGATTAACTCCATGATTGATATGTTGCTGGTCAGAGTGACCGCCGCCTTCCATAAATTCTGTGATGTCCTACAAGTGACTGGTCACCACCTATTGGCTGACCACTTGCGAAATGGTGAGTTTGTGGTCTGAGAGAGAGAGAGAGAGAGAGAGAGAGAGAAGTATCTTCTCATTTTAAAGAATTATCATATTACTCATAACATTTCATATTGACCAAATATTGTTGGGCGAAAACTAATATAACATTTGGTTGTAATTTATAGACGATTATTTTTTATTCGAAATATTTTATTTGCTTGAGAGAGGGAGCCTCAGAGAGAGTCTAGATACACCAGCTTTACTATCGACTCGAGAGAGATCAATTTTAAAACTGTTGTGATTTTCCAGAGGCTTTAAGTGCCAGTGAAAGCAAGGACTTCCCGGGAGGTGAGACACCTGAACCCGACGTCTTCCGTAGATTTCCTTCCTTGAATAAGGCACTTTCAGATGTAGAGAAGCAGGTTCTAGACGGCTATATCAAAGAGAGGGTAAGGTTCACACACAATATCACTTCAGTATTTTTCACAGCCAAGGAAGTCTGAGGACTCATTGAGAAGCGTACATTTACTCTTCTTTTCTTTCTTCTGCTTCTTCTAGATAGCAATATCCACCGCAGGTTGTATTAGGTCTGGACATTATTCTTGCTTGAACAGTAGTTCAGCAACTTAAGAGCGCACAAAAATTATATTTTATGTATTGAATGTGTATAAAGGACCGGGTGGGGGGCAATTTACAGTAGAACTAACTTAAAACGTTCGTTATACTGGACCGGGAGTTTCAGATTCAGTGCAAGTGCCCGCGGTGATACATGCATACATGTACAAGGTCTATTAGATTTTACATAGCGAAATAATAATAACGTAATATAAAAATAAAAACAATGCGGATCTAATACCGCTAGAAATAGGGTACCAGACGACAAAACCTTAAGGTTAAGCCAAGTTTAATCAATCATTTTCCAAAGACATGTGTATCTTGTTCATCTTTATTCCAGGAACGTGAAGCAGCCCTGACCGCACTATGGAAGGGTCAAAGCCGCGAGAAACAGATTGCGTTAGATGCGAAACAGAAGCAAATGGAGGAATCCTGGGAACACATGGAGGTGATGCAGAAGAAAGACGTGCTGATCCACCGCCTTGAAGACGAGTGTCAGAAGGCGCAAGAAGCCCTCCAAGAAAAAACAGCGGAGTACATGAAGCTGCTTAGGAACGCAGAAGAAGCAAAAGAGAAGCATAAACTCCAACTAGACACACAAATGAACTTTAACTCCGCCAACGACAGCACGCTGCGTCGTCTGCAGGAGCGGATCACGGAGATGGAGACCGCTCTCAACGACATGGACGCTTACATGGAGGAAAAACTCCGAAAGGTGGAGCCACCGACTGAAGAGGCTCCTCTTGACATCCAGCACCTGGACAACAAACAGGTGAGGGAGAAGAGGGTCAAATCGTTCTTAGACCACTTTGACCGCCTTTACCTGATCAGTCGGAAGTACGAGGACGCTCTCCAGGAGAGACAAGACGTGCTGAAGCTTTTCGCCATCGAGGCAGACTCAAAACCGTTCTATGCACACATGCGTAACTTCCATGACAGCAATTCCGACCGTCTGGCGCGGCTCTTCAAGGAGCTGGAGCACCGCGAGACGAGGATCTCAGAGGTGCAAGACGAGGTGGCCAAGGTGCAGGGAGAAAAAGCGGACCTAGAGAAGACGATCGAAGACCTGAACGCCCAACTTGCAGAAAGAGACAAGCAGATCCGAGACCTGAAGAAAGAGATACAGGTCCTCCGTTCACACTCTCTCACTGGGAAGTCGGCAAAGAATACCTCTCCGCGAACCATTGAGCCCGGGTACGTTCCAAGCGGGCACCGCCAGCGTGCGGACAGCTACGAGGACCCGCACCACCAGCCCTCCCTCACCCCATGGGGAAAGACACCCACCAACAACGGCCTGATAGACATGCACGATGACCACCCCCTCACCAAGCCACCAAAATTCCTCACGCCGCTGCCTCACGGGGACAGTTCCCAGGGAAGTCCCCACGGGATATCCCCGAGGCACAACCGCGTCGAGACCCTGGCTATGAAGTCTGCGACCACCAAGGGCGCCATCATGCGGCCGTCAGGGAAACCTCTCTCGCCTAACAGCGCCAACGTTGTAAACCTTAGTATACCTCAGCACCAACTTCTAACAGGGGGAATCACTAGGAAAAAGAGGTTCTAAGAAAAAAATGTGGCTATTTGTTTATTAATTAATTAATTGATTAATTAATTAATTTAATTTTTTTTTGGGGGGGGGGGGTATGAGTGATACGTATTTCATATTGATCTGAACATGGTCGGTTGACATTTTTCATCATTTACCATTCTGTGGCCATTAAGTTTTATAATCCGTATCGTGATTAATTCTGAATTGCAACTGACCGAATTATCGGTCACAAAGCTAAGGCCAACACTTTTGTGAACCCGGTCGCATGGAAATGAATCGTGCGTATAAAAAAATTACACAAAAATACCCGGGAAGATGGTGCCGTAAAAATAGATGTACATATCTTACTGTAAGAAGCTTTTGCTGCTGTATGCTAAAATCTATAAAGCTTTATATTTATACATTTGTATTATACAAATTACTAAATTTGCACTGAATATACATATATCGCTGTTATATAGAAGTGTATTTTCTAAGAAATGTTTTATACACTGACTCCGTCCGGATATCAGACTATATTTTGTCACAAGTGTGTTGTTTTCACACGTATAGTATATCGGTTTTACACAGATATTTGTGTATCTTAGGTTGTGTGCGTCGTTAGAAATGTCTATAATAACTTTTCACATTGTTAAATCGTATCGTTCTATCTGTAGCGCTATGTTTTAAGAAACTGACAGCTTTTAAATTATTGTTAAAACAGCCCTACTATATTACAATACCACCTAAGCGGAACCCTACGCTCGCCACGGGATTAATTTTTGTTGGTATACATGTACATACTAGGCCTGATTTCCATGAGTATGCTTCATGTTGCAAATAATAGGAAGCAAACCGCTAAAAGCGAGCTAAGTCCTCCTCACTAAAATAAGGGGCCATTGTAGCTGTTCCAGCATTTACAAGACGATCATTGAAGCGATTTTGTAACTGTAGAACGCTTTCCGGGGAGGAGCAGTCTATCTCAAAACATACCGCTGCAGATGGGTTGAAAATATATGCCGTGCAGCCTAAGAGGCCTGTACAGTACAGGCGTACGTGTATACGTCAATATATGTGCCATGTCCATGACTAATGACTAATTGTGATACAAAGTTGCCATGTGATGCTCAAAGTGTGGTGCTCATTTTATGGTCCATGATATGTGTATTCATGACAACAAGTTACAACTTGCGTATGAATTTCTCAACTTTTACAAACCGTGTGTAGGATTTTGTTTTAGTCTAGATATCTACGTGTTTGAAATTTTCAGATTAAATATCGGAAAAAGGTAGAGTTTTTTTTCCTTAAATAAGTTTCACAGCAAAACTTGTTTCATTTGTTTAAGTTCTTAGTCGTTTTGAAATAGAGTCAGGTTTCTCAGGACAATTTCAAATAGTTTGTCTTGGCATGTGACTATGTTGCTGTCACCTATCAGTCACATGCATATTTGATCGAGATCAAGGCGAAAATGTTTTTGTTTTTTTCTTAAAATATTGATTGTGAACAGAATGTCTTCATTAATCTTTTTACAGTAAATTTACATTTTAATCAATATACACTGTTTTACTGATTCAAAACTGCTAGATTCGAAAGATACATCGGAACTTTTATTGTTCTGAATCAACCGAAATCTGGCATCACCTGTACTTTTGCGTGAGCACCAACGGAATAAAAATATTTATTTAGAAAAGAAAGCTTCCATCTTCATCATTACTTAATATCTAACCACTTATATATCACAAAAACTCAACTGTTAACGAAACTGCCTTTATTTCCAAAGTTATGGACTTTCTGTCATTTAGAAAATAAAGCATTTCTCCTTAAAACTCTATCATTGAGAAACAAGTTCAAGGCAGAGAAGAATCTAAATTTAGAATTCATAGACGCTGACTTATACTCAAAGCAAAGTTGTTTCCTTTTGTGCAATTTCATCAGTAACATTACTTTCACAACTCATTACTAAATAAAACAACAGAGCAAAAAAAAATGTTACGAATGCGCACAGAAGCACAGAGGTGGCATGCACCCGACCTCTGCTGCCATCTATCGTTCATAATCAACCGATAATCGCGTCGTTGAGAGGAGGACCGAATATCTCCGGCTTCGTCCCGCAGGCAGCTGGATGTCCACACTGCGTGCATTGGTTGCGGTGTGTCTTACCGCAGGGGCAGCCTAGGTTCTGGCAGCAGGCGCAGTCAGGGCGTTTGGTGTCCCAGACGCAGGGGCAGCCGGTGAATGTGGCGGTCCAACCGTCTATGCCGAAGTCGGTAGAGGGTTTAACTGCATGGGGTATAAAATAAGTTTTATGATTACTTACAACTTATCCTTCCAATACCAAATCAAATGCTCTGACTTGTCATTTAACTCGACCCCCTTCCCCGATTTAATATTATGGCACGTGATACAGTTATGATAAGATGATTTGTATCCATATTGAAAATTATTATTGCTATTTAGGCAAAATTGAGATTACGAATACTCTAATACTCTATCATCATTTTGTTCAACGGTCCTGCAATACATAACAAATTTAAAGTGCCTGCAAAGTAAAATTATTTGCAACAGACATAACTTAAGAAATTAAATAATAAAGATGTATAAGTAACTAAGTAAGTACATGTTGGAAAATAAATAAATAAATAAATAAATAAATAAACGCTCCCTGTGAAGGTCTTATACCTGTTCCACAGGTGAATTCTTCCCCACATTTAACACAGTGATACTTGGAACTCGTGGGACACTGGCATCCTCCCAGCTCACAGCACGCGCAGTCCCTCTTACTTTGGTCGAAGTAACAACTGCAGCCCGTCTCAGCCCTTTTTAATAAAGAAAAAAATCACGGGGTGTTAATATACCGTATAGAGAGACTTGAATCCAAATAATCTACAAACCTTTTTTTTTAAATCTTCTACCCTTCCTCAGTCCGTACATATCATGCATGTACAACACTAACTTAGGACCAAAATTACAATTATCTTAAATATACCTTTTGGAACGCATTTTCCTCTTTTGATCTTAACTGAAACTCACATGAACATGGTGCTAACTCCAATTTTTGAGTAAGTCGAACAAATGTCTTAGCTCTAAAGTGAAGTGAAGCAGTCTACTAGTTAGTATTTAATCCGTGTGGTACCAGCAGTACCATGTAACACTTTATACATACTCCAATATGCCCGCGGTACTCACTTTGTCCATATGTCCCATCTCATCTTGTTTTCACCCCCGTACTTGGCCCAGTGGAGGGGGAAGGGCGTGGCCTTGGGGGTGGCTGGCCGGGGTGTGGTGCTGGCAGCCATGATTTGCGGGGGTGGCTGGGTGGGTACTGAAACTGATCAACCATCGATGGTTAATGCATATATGTAAGTGTTCTGTACTAAGATGAAAATATACAGTGGAGAAAGAAAAGAGGAAATGTATGCTGATTATTTGTAATTTTTATTTGCAGGTAAAATTCAGTTTGACTTGTGCGCTATATTCCATATCTAATTCATGAAAGCAACCATATGCAAGGGTCAAAGTAAATGAGAGAATATATTTTACTCTTGAGACTCCTGCAAACCGCACCCTACCTTACCTTGTGTCCACTTGGTGGCGCTGATGGCCGGAAGGCACACATTGTTTGTGTCAGTCGGGTCATGGTCTCCAGCACTGTAACATTTACCACTGATGTGACAAGAGTTTGCCTACAATGTGAAATTACATACAAGTTGATAATGCTTAATCTACGATGTAAAAGAGATGTAAGTAAAATGCATCCCTGCAATGGCCATTGCTAAGATATGCAGGGAACAAATCACTCCCAAACGAAGACACATTTACACTGTTAACTGCTCACGCCTAATGTACCGCAACATAGGCCCCATTCAGAATGGGTGATCCGAGTAATTATAATCCGTGGGGAGGCGGGGAGACCATCATGAATCAGCGGCATCGCTTCTGAACTGTGGTCAGTCATATGTAGTCGGCGGATCAGTAAATACTCGGATCATCCATTCCGAATGGGGCCATATATAGTCCATGTATGACAGCTTTCAATAAATTTGAGTTCTTTTACTCGGAAATATAATTGACAAAAAACACCTATAGCTCTTTTCCCGGTACATTAATTTAAGCATGACATTTAATTTAATTGTCAGCTAAAATAAAAGAGGCACTGATATCCTCCATTGAATATAACAGTAACTGTGAATTACATTGATCGTGCACGTCCCTTTCTCAGTGCAGTTCTGGCACAGGGAGTCGTAGATCACAAACATGACGTCATTGCTCCAGCGATTGTTGTCAAACGTGACTGACACATGGTAGGCGTGGCTAGCCACTGTGCCTGGAAATAGGGAAATGGAGAAGTGAGTAAGCTAGAGACAGTTCACCTTCATTGTCACATAGAGAGATTTATGTTCATTTACGTACTGGTATTGCAAATAACAATTACAGAATGGTAATGCGCCAATTGTATTATTATATTATATTGCAAAAGGTGGTGATAATATAAGTGCAGAAATGGATTGAAAATTTTGCCTTCTAAGATATGCCAACTGATTAGTCACGTTGGAGTTAATATTCAACCACTGTATCGTACGTTCGGAACGACAAAAGCCGATGTTTTTCTAAAATGGTTAAAATCTCTACCCTTTGGTCCTGATTGTTTTTAAAACACACCTTTGTGTGCCGGTGACTCTGGGATCTCACAGGAGACCTCGGCATAGTTCTGGAAGTCTGCCTTGGAGAACGCTACATTTCCTCCGACAGTGCTCACTTTCCCGTTCACAATCTGCGATACGTAATTTTGCAAATAAACCTCGAGTGGTTTAAGTTTTATTCAGTTGAATCTAGACGCAGACTTATTTTGATCTGATATGAAAATGTAAGATTACATGCTTATTTGAATTAAGTCTCTGAACAGATAATTCTGGTTATTTGAAAATATTTCTGCTGTACAAAGTCATCTGCGTTAGTTTCTAAGACACTTAATTGTTTTGGGGTATCAAAAGTATTTACACATGTACACTGAACAAATATAAAGTAAGCAAAGGAAAATGAAACTTGGAAATACCGTGAGGTCTTTAAGGCGACATTTTAACTTGGACGTATCAGCGATGTTTTCTATATCCAGGAACGTCAGACGACACGGGCGCTTCCTTATATCACAAGCTTCGGGTCTGGGGAGAGAGATAATGGTTCAAGAATTTTCGACGTCAGAGAAATAAATGCATCTATAATTATGCCTTAGCATCACAACGCATTCTGGCCATGGGGTCATTGTTGTAAAAATGGTCACGTGAACTTTCTGGACAAGTGTGGAGGGCAGCAAGCGAAATGTAGCTTTGCAAACGACATTTTACTACAAACGTTTCCAGAATATCAATGGTACACAAATTAAAATCGACACTCTTCCAATCACCCATTGTTTATGATATTGCCCTGTTAATTTATATTTCAGGACTTTAAAAAGAAATCCAGCAGGTTAATATTTTACCTGGTTAAACCTAATGCTTGTGGTGGTTTGGTCGCGTCAACAGAACAGTCCTCACCGACCCAGTTATTGTTGCACACGCATGCGCCGTTAGAGCACCTGCCGTGCTGACAAGGCGTGGTGCACAAATCAGCAGTCACAAAGGCGGGCATTATCAGTGTTCCTGGAATAGCAGGGTATACGTGAGATACGCTGTTTTTACGTGTTTATATCTGCTAGTATACATAGCAGTGTGCACGTTGAATGAGTCAAATGTACATAGTGCTTTGCAACATGGCGTTACAGGAAAGTTCTGACATGAAATACACGTGCAATGTTGCTTTTATTATTGTTCTCGGTTTGCAAATACCCATCGCTTATTTTTTCGTGACAATAATATACATGTACTAAATACATGTATTAAAAAAAATGAAATCGATATTCAAAACTGCTTAGATGAGGTATTTTATCTGAAGACCTTGTAATGGCATATCCATACGTGATGCCTTTTTGCCATGCGGCTTACACTGGTTTTCACTATGTTCGTTTCGATAATGTAAAATATTGTAAAGGCATATACGATCAATAAATAAAGGAAAAGTGCTGATAAAAGCGAGAGACATTACCAAGAATATTAAAATGCGATAGAAATATAATCAAACGAAACGAAACGCTACCGTCTGTGGCGTTTTTGGTATAAGAATTTGGGTCCTTGAGCACCTTTTCCTGGCACGTGTTTTCGAAGGCAGTGACAACTGAGGACAGAAACTCTGTGTCTCCATCAGATATCTGAAAAATATATCAGTTTGAGCGTTTCGAACGTGCCGGTAACCTGCATATTTATATGACTCCCAAGTGTACAGCACTCTAGCAACACAAGGCTTCTAGATTTTAAATCCTTCAGCTGCATCACTTTTTAATTAAATGTCTCAGACCAATTTTATTCTTACTCCTTTTAGAATGTAAACACAATGAAGCTTTTATATGGCAATCTACTACTGGTATTGTATATTTTATATATCTATTGCTAGATAAATCTTTATCTCATCTTATTTTAGTATATCGAGAAAATACTTTTACGCATATGAATCTGACGTTATTTTCAAATTATTGATATACTGGTAATATTATCATATTAATCTTTCAGTTTTCTAGCTAGTGTTCGCAGTGACACCTAGTGTGATAATCCAGGCCTCGTGAATAAACCGAAACCTTGACTAAAGTTCGGCATGATAATACGTGTGAATAAGTTTGAACTTTAATGAATAATGACTACCTTCATGTCGTCCACGCATCCTCCTACGATTTCGTTGACGTCTATTTTCCCTGTGGCCAGGCATTGGGTGTACGCGCTAGACGACTTAGCAGCGTCTGTACACATCTTCAGCGCGACAGCTTCTGTGAGACCGCTCTTTGTGGGCCACGTAGCGGTGAGCGTTGGGGAATCTAGAGCAAAAAGAAAATACATTTAAACATTTGTTTTGTTTTTTATAAAATTGCATTTCACCCTTCTTTGATTCTAAGCAAAATGATCACCTTATTTTTTATATTCCTATGTCAGAAATCTTCTCCAAACGGTCGGACAAGAAGCCTTGGGGTAATCAAGAGAAAATGAGAAATGCATACGTCTGTTAAGATACTTCATGGTATATTACCACTTCATGGGATAAATGCTCTGATTTTACTGTCAAATCGACTTCATAGGATAAATTGCGACTTCATCTCCACATAAGATATTGCCTGCGACTTCATGGGATAATGGTGAAATAGTACCTGTTGTTGGCCCAACGCTATGAGAGAGAACGTTTTTGAAATATAATGGTTTGGATACAGTGTACCATGAAGTGGTAATATACTACGAAGTCTCCTAAGGGTCCTTATTTTTTAACCAATGAAGTCGCCTTCTATCATGAAGTAGTAATTCTTATCCTATGAAGTGGTAATATACCATGAAGTATCTTAACATACGTCTCTAATCGTTTTCTATTCATTTTATCAAGTTTTACGATTATTATTATTATTATTATTATTATTATTATTAAACCACATATACTTGACGAAAACCATTCAAAGTAACAATACAAAATAGAATGCAAATGCGTCTGTACAAAGCATTCATTCGTTCACAATGTCAAAGAACATAAATTTCCTGCCAATCTTTTTTTGAATATCGTCACCTACTGGGGTCTCCGTAGTCGAAGTTGTACTGGAGGTCACCATCTGTGTCCGTGTCTATAAACGTGGTGGTTCTGCGCAGGCGCGATCCTCGGTTCAAAGAACTGGTGATGTCGATAGTCCTGCTAGCCTGTACGTGTATAAGTAAACCAATGAATTATTTTTAACCATGGTAATGAGGTTTTCGTGTGTTATGTTGATAAAATATTGGACTTAAATTACTGATTGCAAACATTGCACTACATGTGGCCGGTATGCATGCTGTCATTGCTGCCGTGAGTTGCAACATAGTACTTACGGGATATCACATTCAACATCTACTTACGGGATATCACATTCGAAACTTTGTTTATGCTGGTGCGTACATTAGGGTTTTGTGGTCGACTGTGGTGGAAAGCTGTATTAAGTTAGGGATTTGACTTAAAATCTCTATTGTCAGAGGAACATTCAATGGCGCATACTGATAGCAAGGTGAAAATGTGGAAATATTTGCATGAATGCAACATAAATGAATGTTTAGCACCAGATTCGACAAGAAAAGTATAATAGCAACTTACGCGTCTGATGGG